AAAATGATTTTTTTCTTGCCCGGATCATATAACCTATGAACCATATGGGTCAACCCTGATAGATTTAGGTTAGCTCATTTAACCCATATTATTTAAAAAATAAAATAAAAATAAAAATGGGAAAAATTGTATGGATATAAATCGTATTGGACATGACTTACTTAGTTGGATCAATTTACATATTTTATATAAATATTATAAATTAATATTTTGATATATTTATAATGAATTATGAAAGAATATTAAATTGAAACTCATTATTTAAGTGTATTTTTTAAAAAATTTATAAAAATAAATAAATGGGTTGGCGGGTTAGCCCATTTAACCCGTCAACCCTCAAGGGTTGGGTTATGATTTTTTCAACCCACATGAAAATAGGTTAAACTCAATTCAACTCATATTTCTCTCAACTGATATAAGCTGAGTTTGCTCATATTCTCACCTCTAAGTAAATGTAATTTTTTTTTTTCAAAGAGGAAAAATATAATACTTTTAGTATCTAAAAAAAAAGCTAAAATGCATAAAATTTTTATAAATTTTAAAATAGTTGCATATGAGTCCCTTTACCATTTAACGTTTAAAATTAACTCCCATAACTTTTAATTTTATTTTTCAAACCCCTTACAATTAATTAATTATTATTTTATTAATATAGTTATTATCATGTTATATTAATGTAACACACATGGCACATGACATGAAAAGATATTTTTATTATTTTTTAACATAATTTAAGAAGGCAAATGGCAGCTTTTATTTTTTTTCATATGTTTAATATAAAATTATGTTTTAATTGATAAAAAAATAAAATTATAATTTTTCTTTTAAATTTTATTATCCATGAATAATGAGAACAATGTCACTTAACTAAAAAAATGAGAGCATTGTCTTGTGTGTTAAAAGTAGAAATTATAATTTTATGCCTTCTTAAATTGTGTTAAAAATAATTTAAAATATTTTTTTCCATGTCATGTGTAATGTTCTCTTTAACATTACCAAACACACAGGACACAAGATATCATTATGATAACTAAAATTTATTAAATTTCTTATATATAATTATCATAACACAAGGGTTTTGAAAATAGTTTAAGAAAATGGGACTAAGAAACCCTTTTTTAAAAGTTGTTTGAACTTACATTATAATTTAAAACAAAATACAAAGGATAGCAGAAGCAAGAAAGTTAAATAACATTTCAAACAAGCACTAAAAGGGGCATTTTAGGTAACCCTAAAAGTGCTCCATTCATCACAGTAGATGGAACAGAGAACTTAAGGCTCTCACTGTGCAATGCATTACAGCACACTCTTATTATCATGACAGCACTCTAAGACTAATTTTTCGGAGGGCACTATTTCACCATCCGACGACCAATTTCAGTGATTTAAGCGTTTACACATAGTTCTTTGAGCCACCTAGCTATTGGCACCAACCACGCACACAAACACTAAATCAATTAAAAGTTGGACACCTGAACATAAAAAGATCCATTTTCCTTCCAAATCAACAAACAAGGTGTCTAAACTCACATACCAAGTGCCAATAACCTTAAAACCACTTGAATTAACTCAAATGGATCACAAATAACTTGATTGAACAATCAAACAATAGTAATAACATTTTAAACACAATTTGGCTATCAAAACCTCCAAATTCAGCATAAACTCAACAAGTACAACAATTCACAATAAATATCTTTATGGCCATTCACACACATAATTAATACAAAAACAATACTTGTACTGGTATCTCAACTTCTCACAAATATTACATCACAATTACAACATCCCAGGTTGAAATACCCACAATTTACAACAGTATTCATACAAGTGACCTCAAAATGACATATGATCTCAAGTTGGCATAAGCATAAATAGTTCATTACAAAAATGAAAGATAGAGAGGGGACTATACAATTACAAATCCTTTAATACTCAGCATCACCTTCCTTCTTTTGCCCCTATTGGAGCTTTAACTTGTAAAATGTAACCATAGGGTGAGTCAAAGACTCAGTAATTAAATAATCCAAACAAACTACTTGTGTGAGAAAATAGTTAGTGAATATGTGAAGTTGCATTTAAAATGTAAATTTCATATATAATAAGTATATGCACATACATATGACTTTTCAATAGAAATATGTATGATCAACACACCGCTTTATATCCTTCTTATTTATTTTGACTGAATCTGTAGGCTAACAATTCGATATAACTGAATTCATGTAACTGAATTGGCTCAAGCTTACCAATCATGGGTGGCAACCCTAGCTAAGGACACTTTCACCCACTATGAACCACATATTTTTCCTTTCCACGAATACCCATGGTGTCTATACCCAATCTATCTCATATAGTACTGGGACTTCCAAACAAATATAAAACTGTGCATCAGGGCCTCTACAGTGCCAATGTACTATATAAATTTTTAAACAATGTTCTCAACACAACTCTAGGGTGAACTCCCACCCTCTCACAAATGATCATTTCAAAAATATGCTCAATCATTCCACATATAACCATAAACTTGTAATTTACACTTAAATAGTCAATTTTCACTACCAATCATACAATTTCACAAGTACGTATACATAAACATAGGATTTAGAATAAAACTTTCAAGAAAAAGACCAAAATTATGCAAAACATACTTATCCATTCCACTTCATATAAACTTTCTAAATCATAATCATTTTCATATTAATAATATACTAATATCCAAATTGATAATACTAGCTTTTGCTATTATATACAACATCTAAATACGTAAATAGAGAGTTTAGATAATTCAATTATTTTAATCATTTTGTCACAAAAGAGTTATCGTGGTCAAAACTTAGCTCCCAGTGTTCACTAGCATGGCAATGCCTAATTAATAGTTAATCTACAAGATTAAACAATTAACATCAATTCTCACTCTAATTATCCCCTTTTTAATATAATTTTGGGTATCCACTATATCAAAAAACCTTACTTTAACACCATCAACTCTCCCAACACACTCCATTAATCCCATTTAACATCTAAACACACTAATAACACTAGTCCTCTACCCATATTGCTTTTAAACTCCTAAATTTTACTTAGGGTTCGTCTAAACCCTAACCAAAAGCTCCAAATCACTACACAATCCATTAACCTAGGTTTAGAAGCTTGATTGAACTTTCTAAGACTTTAATTAAGGCAATGGGTTTGATCATAATCCAAGAAAAACTGAAATCAAGTCCCACATTACCCTAAACATTTAAAAATTTATATAAAGGGAGAGGGAGAGGTATAGGTATAGGAAGTTTACCTAAGAATGAATCTTTCTCTAAATGCTTCCAAAATGGTGTTAGAAATTAGCCTTACCAGCCTTAAGTTTATTCATCGTTGCCCTCTCACATTTTCCTTTTTCCCTCTTCTATTTTTTTATTCAGATTGTGAATCTGATATATGCAAATTTGTCAATCCACCGCGGCACATGGCATGTTTATCATGGGGATGGCACAAATTGGCCCAACACAATTTTTTGGCCCCTATTGTGCCTCGATACGCTCGAACTTTGACTTAGTCTTCTTCCAAGATTGTTCAAAGATCTATAAATCATATTAGTTATCTAAAAATATTATTAATTCATAAATATTTTATTTTGACCAATTTGCCCTCCTAAACACTTGAAATTTTCAAAGCTTGAAATTTAGGATGTTATATTATGTGCCATGTTTGTTGCATTAATATAACATGGCAATAATTATATTAATGAAATAATAATTAATTAATAGTAAGGGGTTTTGAAAAACAAAATTAAATGTTAGGGGTGTTAATTTTAAATGTTAAAAGTTGAAGGGAGTTATATGCAACTGTGTTAAAATTTATGAGAAGGATGGTCGAAGGAGAGTAATATAAGTATTTATTTTTAGGAGAGTTGTGCCTAAGGCCCTAGAAAGTAACAATCGCACATAAGGTTTAATATATTTTCAATTGTTTCATCAATGCTTTAAATGCAAATATATTTCTTCGTGAAAAGATGCATTTGCCTTTAATTATATTGATTATATATAACAAATGAAAATTGTGTTGTTCACATATAGACCTTGTTATGATGTTTATGGACCTCATGTTGTACATATATTTGAGAAACTTATAGATTATTATGTAATTTAATTACATGAACTATACATAATAAACAAATATTGTATTGTTCACATATAAATTTTGTTGCGTTCTTTATGGAGATTATGTTGTACATACACATGAAAAACTTGCATTTTATTGTTTAACTTAGCTGCACATACTATGTATAATAACAGACCATTTTGTTATTCACATATAGAACTTGGCATGTTCTTTATGGCATTGTGTTATACATATACTCTCTTCATTTAAAAATATAAGATATTTTTAATCGAATCTCACTCCCCAATAAAGTAGTTACTTGCTTTCAAATTAATTCTATATTTTTATATTTACCTCTATTAAATATCCTATAATAAATATAAATTCATTATCAATAGACCCACTTTTAGAAAAAAGGATAATAATTATACCTCAAAAGATTAAAAATGCCTCATATTTTTTAATATTAAACTTTTTAAAAAATATTTTATATTTTTAAATGGAGGAAGTACTTAAAAAACTTGCATATTTGGGATGAATGTATCTTTTTATAAAGAAATATATTTATATTTGGGCATGCAGAAAAATAAAGAATGTTTGAACTTTAGGTATAATTTTTTCATTTTAGTGGAAATAAATGCGATTCTCTCTATTTTTTTCTCATGGGCGGGACTGAAGAAAATAGAAAGGGGTCAAACCTTTTTGCCTTGAAAGACGTGGCCCCACATTTAGCCTATTTTATTTGTAAATATTATTATTTTTATTATAATATTTTGCTCTTTGCACTTTTTATCGGCTTTGCTTGTGTCACATTACCTAAAATACGTTCACACACTGACACGCAAAAGGCCACATCAAACCAATCGCAATTTACATTATTCTCATTTATCTAACAAACCTACACCCGCCCTCTCTCTCCCCCTTTCAATCTAATCTACTCATCTTTCTATATTCCTATCTGTATGAGCAGAGTTAGAGAGAGAGAGAGAGAGAGTCAGTGTGTGCTTGCTGGAAAAGTCCAGCTCTAGGTTTGGTTCCTTTGCTTTTAAATTTAGCAAGAACTTATATATAATTCCTGAAAAAGCAAAGCTCCTTACCGATTTTGAACTCTGTCTTTCTTGTCATCAGGTAATTTTTTTCCTTGTCTTCTGCTCTGCGTCTGAGTTCCTTCTTTTTTGGCCAAAATTTTTTTCAGGGTCTTTCAAGATAAGGAGAGGGTGAGAATTAAAGAGATGGGTGATTATTATTTGGTCTTTTGCAATTGGGTTAGATTTGTTATTGTTCTTCTGATTCCCCCTCCTTTTTTCTGTGGGTATATGATGCTTTGAGACTTGAGGGACATTTTCCCCTCATCTTAATTGTTTGATAAAAACTGGTCTGCAACTTATCTGACTTTACACAGAATGTGAAAGTTACTTTACAGTTTCAGTTGAATCTGGATTCTTTCAATTTCATTTGACTTATTTGACGATGATGGAAATGTCCTTTTTCAGAGGTTAAAAAAAAAACAAAGAAAGGCGTGTCTGATTCTCTGCTTAATCTTGATGATTCAGCTCTGTATAATTTCACTTAAGATATAACACACACACATAATATTTTAAATCTGTAATCTTCGCAATCTCTTCTCACGTAGCATTAGCTATTGTAATTACAATCTATAGGTAACTTCCATTTATATAATCTGGTCTTGTTCTCGCTTCTGAACTAGAGTGTAGAATTTGCTTGTCAAGTTCTTTCTTTCTTTCTTCTTTTTCATCTTCTTCTTCTTCTTTTTCGCTGCAGCGTGTACATATATATATATATATATATATGTATGTATGTATACATAATTGCTGTATTTGCCTTTTATTTTTTGAGCTGTTACTTTACTTTCTGGTTTTGGCTTGCAAGTTTCGACATTCCTTCTAAATAAGCGAAGAAGAAAAATTACATAAGTGAATTGAATTGAATTGAACCCCATTAAACAAATTTCTGGCGATGATATCAATGCCGTTGTTAAGTTTTCTGTTGACACTTGATTTCTGTTTTTGTTTTTGTTTTATCATTCTTTTGAGATTACATAACGTTCTTGACATAGTCTTTCATGGCAGCAGCAAAATCTGCAGGACTCATTTTTCTGTCCCCTTCATCACATTATCTCGAACTGCCTGAATGACAGCAAGATATTTCTGCTTCATTATCTGATAAAAAGAAGACCCTTTAGTTTCATTGGAGGATATCATAGTTTGGGTATAAGATTGCTTATAGGAGAATTCTTTCTTTAAGCAACTGAAATAGTAAAAGACTCAGTAGAAAGCAAGATGGGTTGTATATGTGATTTCTGTGGAGAACAGAGGTCCGTGGTGTATTGCCGTTCGGATGCTGCATGTTTGTGTTTGTCATGTGATCGAAATGTTCATTCTGCTAATGCCCTTTCAAGACGTCATTCAAGGACCCTAGTATGTGAGAGATGCAATTCACAACCTGCCACTATAAGGTGTACTGAAGAGAGGATTTCACTATGTCAGAATTGTGATTGGTTGGGCCACAGTACTTCCGCATCTTTGTCAACACATAAGAGGCAAACAATCAATTCCTATTCAGGATGCCCTTCGGCTGCAGAACTTTCTTCAATATGGTCATTTGTCTTAAACATTCCAACTATTGGTGAATCTTCATGTGAGCAAGAACTAGGTATGATGCGCATTAATGAGAACAGAAACAAGAGTGCTTGGGTTCCCCCTGAAATTCAGATAGGATCTGGTTCAGCTCAAGTAATTGATATACACAGCATGGATAAGTCTTGTGTTGGGCCATCTTTGATGCCCGAGTCAATCTCAGAGCCTCATGCTCTTGACCACCCGACTGGACCTGCCAATGAAAGTCTATCCAAGGTATAACATAAAGTTGTATAGTTATTATTTTTTACTGATGTAAGGAAATGAGTTTTTTTGTCCATGTTTGATGGATTTTTAATTTTTAATTTTTCTTTTCATGCGGCATAGAGGCCAACAATTGAAAAGCAAAACTGTTGGAAATCTAGAGGTCCTTTCTGATTCACTGCATTTTGTTTCCAAGGGTCCCTTGTAAGAAAATTATTAACACTTTGATCCCTACTCAAACAACAAAGTTGTTAACATAGTATATTATAGTTGTCAATCTCAAAAGGGTCGTGTGCTCAAGAGACCAAAATGTCAATAATTTCTTTAAAAGGATCCAAATGTCATTCTCTCCTTTTCCAAATCAATTGGTTTCATTTGGTTACCATGATGAAGATTCAGACCCTTGTCATTTCTTCTATATTATGTCCATCATGTCTTCGTAATCACTACTTAATGTTGTTTATCTATATTTATTTTTTGCAAATAGGGTTACAAAAGTCATTTCCTGTCCTCAAGATTACCTTTTTCCCACTCCATTCTTTTCCTTTCTCTATATTAACAGAGTCCTTATTCTTCTATCAAACTGTAGAGTCTTGAGTTCTATGGTGGTTTCATTTTCTGGATAGTCATTGCGCTACTAGATACCACTCTTCCTCTTGGTTTGGATGAAAAGAAAATTAGGGAGGAAAGAATAGCAGGGGGAAAAACTGCCAAAAATAGTAAAATATCGTCCTCTCTTGATATTAAATTATAGGACACTTTTAGAAAAAACCACACATATCAATAAAGCTTATTAAATATGCTTTCCAATTTTTTTTTTGAAAAAAAATATAAATTTTCAAAATGCATTTAATTTAATACTCCATTTATGAAATAATATTAAGGATAGAGAATATAATGGAAAGGGTAATATTGGAAAAGTATTATCAATGAAATATTGTTTTTTAATTAAAGTGTCTTATACCTTGGACGACAAATCAACCCACAAAAATGTCTTAAAATTTGGGATGGAGGCAGTACTGTTTATGAGAGTTCTTTCTCATAGTTTTCTGTCCCCTATATTTTCCTCCTGTCCAAATCAAGCCTTAGTTTCTTTTCTTTGTATTGGTAGCTTAATCTCAATGTAAGAAAAATGAGCTTGCACGCCACATGTTATCATGTATATAGCTTTAGTCTATGAGAGCTGCCAGTTTTGTTGGACAAGAGAACAGAAACTCTACAACAACAACAACAACAAGCGTTTATCCCACTAGGTGGGGTTGGCTACATGGATTGCAAGACGCCATTGCGCTCTATCATTTATCAAGCTTTTAGGAATATTATTAATTAAGAGATTGCGTTCAATAATTTCCAAAAGTGTTTTCTCAGACCTTCCTCTACCCCGCTTAATCGGACTCAAAGTTATATGTTCCACTCTTCTCACTGGTGTCTCCCTTGGTCTTCTTTGTACATGCCCAAACCATCTCAACCGATTTTTTACCATTTTTTCCTCAATAGGTGCTACCCTCACTTTTTCGCGTACTTGCTCATTTCGAATTTTATCTTTACGTGTATGTCCACACATCCATCGTAACATTCTCATCTCTGCTACTCCAACTTTATGCTCTTGCTGTCTCGTTAGAGCCTAGCATTCACTACTATATAACATTGTCGGTCTGATAACAGTACGATAAAACTTTTCTTTAAGTTTATTAGGCACCTTACGGTCGCAAATAACTCCTTTAGCTTTTCTCTAATTAAACCACCCAATTTGAATCCTATGTGAAATATCTCCACTGATTTTGCCATCATTTTGAATAATGGCTCCCAAATATCTAAACTTTTCCACTTGAGGTATAATTTGATCTTCCAATTTCACTTCCAAATTATTGTCGAATAGTCTCTTACCAAATTTACAATATAAATATTCCGTCTTACTCCTACTCAGACGGAAACCTTTCGACTCCAATGTCCTCCTTCATAACTCAAGTTTGCAATTAACCTCTTCTCTTGTCTCTGCTATAAGAACTATATCATCTGCGAAGAGCATACATTTGAGAATTTCCCCTTGAATATGTTCCGTCAAAACATTTAAGATCAAGTTGAACAGATAAGGACTCAGAGATGATCCCTGATGTAGTCCAATCTTTATAGGAAAATTCTTTGTTTGACCACTAGGCGTTCTTATACTAGTTTTTACCCCCTCATACTTATCTTGTATGGCTTTAATATAAGCAATCCGTACTCCCTTTTTTTCCAACGCTTTCCAAAACACTTTTCTTGGTATACGGTCATAAGCTTTTTCCAAATCAATAAAAGCCATGTGTAAATCTTTATTTTTACAACGATACTTTTCCATTAATCCCCTTAGTAGATAAATCGTCTCTGTAGTTGATCTACCTGGCGTAAAACCAAACTGATTCTCAGAAATACTTGTCTCCAATCTCAACCTGTGCTCAATTACTTTCTCCCACAATTTCATTGTGTGACTCATGAGTTTAATCCCTCTATAGTTAGTACAATTCTGAATATCTCCTTTATTTTTATAAATAGGAATTAATGTACTTCTCCTCTACTCATTAGGCATTTTCCTGGACTGTAAGATCACATTAAATAACTTAGTTAATCATCTCACCCCTTCTTCACCTAAACATATCCACGCTTTGATAGATATACAATCAGGTCCGTTGGCTCTACCATTTGCCATTTTCTTAAGAGCTTCCTTTACCTCCTTATCACGTATTATTCGAGAGAATGATAAATTTTGTTCTCCTTCACCAGTTACTAAATCCTCCAAGTTACTAGATGAACCCTCTCCATCATTGAAAAGTTTGAAAAAGTAAGTCTCCCATCTATTTTTAATTTCATCATCTGTAACTAAAATTTTTCTCTCTTCATCCTTAATACACCTTACCTGTTTTAGATCCTTTGATTTTCTTTCCCTACTCTTGGCAATCTTATAAATGTTTCGTTCTCCTTCCTTCGTCTTAAGGCTCTTATAAAATTCTTCAAAAGATTTAGAACGAGCTTCACCCATAGCTCTCTTAGTTTTCCTCTTAGCCATACGGTACTTCTTCCAATTTTTCTCATTGTTACACAAATGTATGGTTTTAAAACAGTTCTTTTTATACTTGATTTTGTCCTGTACACTATTATTCCACCACCAAGACTCCTTATCTCTCGGACCAGAACCTTTTGATTCTCCCAAAACTACTTTTGCAACCTCCCGTATCTTTTTAGCTATATTCTCCCACATGATGTTAGCACTTCTCTGAGATTTCCAAATTCCTTTGTCCAAAAGATTTCGCTTGAAAATATCTTGCTTCTCACCTTTTAATTGCCACCACCTAATCCTTGGTGCTACTACTAGTCGACGCTTTTGGATTTTACTCATAATACACACATCAAGGACTAGGACCCTATGTTGTGTCGTTACAGCATCTCCGGGGATCACATTGCAATTTTTACAAAGTCTTCTATCTGAAGAGAATAGAAACTCTGAAATTAACAAATTTGGACGTCAAAAATTGTGTGACAACATCATTGTTGCCTTTTTTTGGTGCAATTGATGGCAGATGAAATTTCTGTTCCAATCTTCATTCAACATGACTTCATTTAAGACATGTTTAGTAGGTGTGAAAAGGGAAAATGGAAATTGGAGTCATAGAATATTGTGAGAAATCTACACTTATATCGAAATATCTAATGAGTTAGTTGTTAAAAGAGGAAAATGTTATCATTTAATCTATGTTGCCGACCTTAGTGGAATAAGTCTTAGTGTTACTATATCTGCTTTTAAAAGGTGAGAAGCAAGATATTTTCAAGCGAAATCTTTTGGATAAAGGAATTTGGGATTCTCAGGGAAGTGCTAACATTATATGGGAGGATATGGCTAAAAAGATACGGGAGGTTGCAAAAGTAGTTTTGGGAGAATCGAAAGGTTCTGGTCCGAGAGATAAGGAGTCTTGGTGGTGGAATAATAGTGTACAGGACAAAATCAAGTATAAGAAGAACTGTTTTAAAGCCATACATTTGTGTAACAATGAGGAAAATTGGGAGAGGTACCGTATGGCTAAGAAGGAAACTAAGAGAGCTGTGGGTGAAGCTCGTTCTAAAGCTTTTGAAGAATTTTATAAGAACCTTGAGACGAAGGAAGGAGAGCAAAATATTTATAAGATTGCCAAGAGTAGGGAAAGAAAATCAAGAGATCTAGAACAGGTAAGGTGTATTAAGGATGAAGAGGGAAGAATTTTAGTTACAGATGATGAAATTAAAAATAGATGGGAGACTTATTTTTCTAAACTTTTCAATGATGGAGAGGATTCATCTAGTAACTTGGAGGATTTAGTAACTGGTGAAGGAGAACAAAATTTGTCATTCTATCGAAAAATACGTGATAAGGAGGTAAAGGAAGCTCTTAAGAAAATGGCAAATGGTAGAGCCAACGGACCTGATTGTATATCTATCGAAGCGTGGAAATGTTTAGGTGAAGAAGGGGTGAGATGGTTAACTAAGTTATTTAATGTGATTTTACGGTCCAAGAAAATGCCTGATGAGTGGAGGAGAAGTACATTAATTCCTATTTATAAAAATAAAGGAGATATTCAGAATTGTACTAACTATAGAGGGATTAAACTCATGAGCCACACAATGAAATTGTGGGAGAAAGTAATTGAGCACAGGTTGAGATTGGAGACAAGTATTTCTGAGAATCAATTTGGTTTTATGCCAGGTAGATCAACTACAGAGGCGATTTATCTACTAAGGGGATTAATGGAAAAGTATCGTTGTAAAGATAAAGATCTACACATGGTTTTTATTGATTTGGAAAAAGCTTATGACCGTATACCAAGAGAAGTGCTTGGGAAAGCGTTGGAAAAAAAGGGAGTACGGATTGCTTATATTAAAGCCATACAAGATATGTATGAGGGGGTAAAAACTAGTATAAGAACGCCTAGTGGTCAAACAAAGGATTTTCCTATAAAGATTGGACTACATCAGGGATCATCTCTGAGTCCTTATTTGTTTAACTTGATTTTAAATGTTTTGACGGAACATATTCAAGAGGAAATCCCGAAATGTATGCTCTTCGCGGATGATATAGTTCTTATAGCAGAGACAAGAGAAGAGGTTAATTGCAAACTTGAGTTATGGAGGAGGACATTGGAGTCGAAAGGTTTTCGTCTGAGTAGAAGTAAGACGGAATATTTATATTGTAAATTTGGTAAAGGACTATTCGAAAATAATTTGGAAGTGAAATTGGGAGATCAAATTATACCTCAAGTGGAAAAGTTTAGATATTTGGGAGCCATTATTCAAAATGATGGCGAAATCAGTGGAGATATTTCACATAGAATTCAAGCTGGGTGGTTTAATTGGAGAAAAGCTAAAGGAGTTATTTGTGACCGTAAGGTGCCTAATAAACTTAAAGGAAAGTTTTATCGTACTGCTATCAGACCGGCAATGTTATATAGTAGTGAATGCTGGGCTCTAACGGGACAGCAAGAGCATAAAGTTGGAGTAGCAGAGATGAGAATGTTACGATGGATGTGCGGACATACACGTAAAGATAAAATTCGAAATGAGCACATACGCGAAAAAGTGAGGGTGGCACCTATTGAGGAAAAAATGGTAGAAAATCGGTTGAGATGGTTTGGGCATGTACAAAGAAGACCAAGGGAGGCACCAGTGAGAAGAGTGGAACATATAACTTTGAGTCCGATTAAGAGAGGTAGAGGAAGGCCTAAGAGAACACTCTTGGAAGTTGTTGAACGTGATCTCTTAATTAATAATATTTCTAAAAGCTTAATAAATGATAGAGCACAATGGCGTCTTGCAATCCATGTAGCCGACCCCACCTAGTGGGATAAAGGCTTGTTGTTGTTGTTGTTGTTGTTGTTACTATATCTGCTTTTCCAAAATGCCCGAAAATATTTGCTTTTTCTTGTAAAATTCTCACAACTTAGTCAAAGAAGTTTTCTAATCTCATAATTAATCTGTAGTTATACTATCCCGGTGCAAAAGGTTCTGGAGAATATGAAGATGATAACCTGTATGGTGACTTCGACATGGATGAAGTGGATCTAAATCTTGAGAACTACGAAGAACTTTTTGGTGTGGCTCTTAGTCATTCTGAAGAGCTTTTTGAAAATGGTGGAATTGATAGTTTGTTTGGGGCAACAAAGGAAACGTCTGCTGGCAATTCCAATCATCAGGCTTCTGCTGAGGTATTGAAATCTCATCATTCTTTGTTTTTTTTTTCCTTTTTCTTTTTAAATCTCATCATTCTTTATCAGTGACAACATGAATTTTTCTATTCTTGGTATTGATTGATCTTCATTAATCGTATGCCTATTCCTTGAATACAAGTATCTTACGTGGTTAAATTATAGAAGGTTTAGCATGACTTTTCTATCTATATTCCTCAAAGATGCTGTATCAAACTCCCTTTAGACCATGTAAGCACTGGTATCTATCTGTCATTGGAATAAGTTTTGTAATTGCTTACACTTTGAGTTGTATGGGACTGGGAGGGCCTTGAAATTTGAAAGGTGAAACCAGCTCTCTGGCTTCATTTTCAGCAAAAATTGTTCTAGATTGTAACATATCTTATAATTAATCTGCAAACAGGATCAAACTGATAAGGGTAACACAAAACCAATCAAAGAGCTGATGTTGAGCTTTGATTTGAAAAAAAAAAAAAATGAAGAGTGCATAAAATATCAGTGCATTTGTGTTCCTCATACGATCAAATCTCTTGGGTTGTCTTTTGATTGCAGAGAACAAAGGAGAGTGGAAGGGAAATAATCTAGACATTTGCTTTTATTTAAATTTAAATCTGACATTTATGTTTTTATTAGAATATGTTTGGACTGATGTGAATGGATTAGAAAGAAAGGAAAAATTTCTTCACTTAAGATGAATGACAGAAAATGTCTAAATTAAAATTTCTCTTCCCTCCTCCATTCTCTTTAATCCAAACATCCCCTATTGTTTTTGACTTTGTTATATCTCATTAAACCACTCAGGGTGCATGCATGTAATTGTTGGCAATGAGATGCTTGCAGATCAATTTTCTGTATGCTTATTAAGTCCAGATCTAAGCCCATAGTAGATTAAACACCTGCTTTTCTTCATTTGGCTTTTTTGAATAGTTTGTTGGTTCTTGCTTTGAGTTAATGGTCAGATGCAAAAATTGTGTCCAGGGTTTGTCAGTTGGACTGGTCAACGCAGTGCGCCCAGCATGCAGCAATGCAGCTTCTGCAGATTCCATGATAAGTACGAAAACTGAACCAATTCTCTGCTTTACCGGAAAGCAAGCGCAATCAAACCTTTCATTTTCTGGTGTTACTGGAGAGAGCAGCGGTGCCGACTATCAAGATTGCGGCGCTTCTTCAATGCTACTAACAGGGGAGCCTCCTTGGTGCCCTCCATGCCCGGAGAATTTCCTGAAAACTTCTAACCGCAGCGATGCCGTCATGCGTTACAAAGAAAAGAAGAAGATGCGCAAGTAAGTATATCCCAACCATACGAGTGTACCCACTGGGATGCGATATCACTTTCATGGAGACAAAAAATTGTCAGTTTCATGAAACTGCTGTGGTCTCTATCATGTGTCATTATTAGTTTGATGCTGGCTATTTCTCATATTTTTATCTTCTCTTTCATTTTTTAACATAATTGTATTAATTTTAGCTTCTTGTTGCCTGAAGTGGTAAAGTGGAAATAATAAAAATATAAAATTGTATTAGGTTTTGACAATCTCAAAAAACAAAGGAAGTGAGAGAGAATTTAAAGTTTAAAGTAGTAATAATAATGCAAGACGTAGTTTCACTTGTCTTGTAACTACAAAGCACCCATGCTTGAAAATAAAAAGCCATGCCTGAATCTGACGTGTCACACTGTTTATTAGACACGGTGCAACCTTTATAATGACGAATAAGTACTTCAGATTTTGTTAGGGTCGTGTCATGTCATATTGTATTTATTTGGGAAAATGCAGCAGCAGGTCCTTGTACTTTGATTGCATTTTGTTTTTAGTCCTTATAGTTTTACTTTGTTGTTTTCAGTCCTTTTAGTTTGATTTGTTTGCAATGTTAGTCCTTACAGTTTCAAAAAATCACATAAAGACCAAAAACTGACAGAGAGTTAATTTTGTTGATGTGTGCTTAACATTTTTAACCCCTTTGCTGACGTATACTTAATTTCACCTTCACCTTCAACTTCCACATTTTATTTTATTTAAACGAAGTATAAAAGTTCCCCTTGCCTTTTATTTTTAATCATACTTGGTCAATAGTAGAGAGGGATTGATAAGGACTAAAAATACATGGATCTACTGCTGTATTTTCCTTATCTGTTTTGTTAATGTTTTCTATTTTCTACCTTTTTTCAGTCAACTAATTTGTAATTGCTGTATTTGTTGATATTATGCTCTCATTTCAAAGCATATTTGCTTGCGAGGTGATTCACCTAATTTGTGTTTTATGGAAATAGGTTTGAAAAAAGGGTGAGGTATGCCTCCCGCAAGGCAAGGGCCGATGTTCGAAGGCGTGTGAAGGGCAGGTTTGTTAAAGCCAGTGAAGCCTATGATTACGATCCTTTGACTCAAACGCGAAGCTGCTGAGTCTACAACTTTGAACTAAGTTTTATATAAGGAAAGAACCACAGTCAATACTCAAGCGAAACCAACCTGAAAATGGATGAAATCTGATGCATCATATTCTTTCTCCATAAAATGAATTTTGCACGGGGGCCTAGATACATCACCAAGTTAAAGTACGAAACAAAAAGACATCGATCCATCAATACTTTTACGGTATTATGTTATAAACTTGAGTCAAGCCAAGCCAGACTCAAGTATCCTTCACTCTTCATAAGGATGTATGCCTGTGAATTGAGATATCAGCTCATAGTTTCACTTACAGTAACCCATTTCAGGCAATGGGGTCTGATTCATTCTTCTTCTTCAGTTTTACTTGGCCGATCTCGTGGCTTAATTCCTTTGTAGGAACTCCAAAATTCTTGTTAAGTCCTTAATTGGCCTTAATGACACTTGGCATTAGTCATATTTTTATGCAGAAAGTGGGTCCGCTTGACAGGTGTAGATGATCTACAAGGTTGTAGCTTGTAATATTTTGCACTTTTGGCCTTTGATGATTGATGTATAGCACACAATCTAAGTGTTTGCTGTTGAGGTATGATTGCTCAACAGTTTAAGTTTAGACTTGTAAGGTCGAACAAATTGTAAATTGGACTGGGATGTATAGAATGGGATTTTTCTGTTTATCATCATGTCTATGAGCAGGGGAGAGAGTCTATAGATACAAAGCTTTATTTGTATCCCTTTGTTTTTGTTTTGCAAGTTCTATGAATGCTCCATATGGCCATTATTGTTTTGTTTCCATTTAATTATAGGTGAAATGATACTTAAGTCTCAAATGGATTATTTTATTCAAATAAAGTTCTAACAAATTTTAAAATGTAAAGTGAGTCTCTTATGTCTTTAACTAGTATTATGATATAATGTCACCTATTTTTAATTTTAAAATTAAAAAATTGAATTGTAAATTTAATAGGACAAAATTATAAATTTGGAATTCAAAATTGTAAATTCTGAGAAGTATTTAAATAATGACATATTAATTATTAACATCTATGTTTCTTATTAAAATCAAGGAAGCGAGCTGCAAATTTAAGATTAAAAAATTGCAAATTTGAAAGACTGTTACAATTTATTAAAATTTGAAAAGAATCATGTCATAATTTGAGCACTTCTAGTAATTTGCAATTTTGTCTCTCCAAATTTATAATTTTATCATCTTAAATTTACAACTTGCTTTCTTGTTTTTAAAAAGGAGCACAAATCTTAATGATTAAATTTGAAAAGTAATATGTCATTGTTTGAACACTTTTAGCAATCTGTAACTTTGCTTTCTAAATTTGTAATTTTGTATTGTTGAATTTACAACTCATTTTTTTTAATTTTAAATTTGGAAACAAATAGCATTATATGAAAATATCAATTAAAGACCACCGCATATTTTAAAATTTGTTAGGATTTTACTTGAATAAATTCATTATTTAGGGACTTGAGTGTCATCCCCCCTTAACTATTTGCTATATTGGTTGTTGGCACTAAGTAGACATTTTTCTTTTGGCTTAGAAAAGAGGCTAGGGTTTTTTTAATTTTATGTTTGGGTTAAGAGAAATTTTTTCTTTTAAAATATACCAGCGAGGGGGAATTGGTTTTCTAAAAAATTACAATGGAGCAATATAACAATCAATTTTTTTTTTTAAAGTGAACAATGTTTGCCTAATATTAATGTTTAATTTACAATGACTATCAGTTACTTCCTCCCGTCTTTAATATATGGATTTTCTTTGTTCTTAATACAAGGTGAAGTTAAAATAATTAATGTTTTTTTTTTTCCAGTTTTCTCCTTATTTATTTGTGTTAAAAGGTCAATTTGGCTATTAAGTTTTAAGTTTACGAGTGTCTGAGACTTTAAACTCATTTTTATGTAATATTCTCTTTAATTTTTGAAAATGGTGCAGTGTTGTCCTTAATCATTAATTAATTAGAAAATGATATATCATGATTAAAAAAATTACAAAAAATAACATAAAATTACAAAAAAGGGATTCAAAAAATTACAGAAAAGGACTATGAAAAGTTTATTAATCAATTTTATTTTTTTATGTCATTTTTTGTTAATTAATAATCAAAGTTAACTTTTGTTAACTATAAAGGCTACAGTGCAACTTTTTCAAATGTTAAAGGGAACATTGTATAAAAAATTAATTTAAGGTCTCACACGTTTTTAAACCTATAGTTTAAGAGTCCAATTACCATTTAACCTTTTATTTATTATAGTTTGAATTCTTATACAATAATTTATTATAATTATTAATTGCAAAGCAGCGCAAAGTTAAAAAGTTTCTTTTTTTTTAATAATTTTAAAGATATAACTATCATTTATTATGTGTGAATCATTTATTATGTGTGAAGTTAGTTAACTTTACCTTGTATTAAGGGCCCAAGGAGCATTTCATTTCATGGACGCCATGTGATTTGCTAGCATTGCATCCTTTAGTCAAAAATAACTAATGGGTAATGTGGCCTTGTGTGTCATCTATTAAAAATGGGCGTTGTTGCGCCCTTTTAGAAATATTGTGTGATCTTTAATATACCAATTACCTTTCATGAGATTATTTAATAAATAAAAATATTATTTAGCCTTTTATTGTATTAAAAAAAATACTTATTTGTGATTATAAACTGCTATAATTTTAACTAGACACAGTAGAAGCAGACAATTTTATTTTTCCCAAAAATTAGATGTACTGGCAAACAAAATAATAATCAAAAGGAAGACTTAAAATAATGTACCATAACTTAAAAATTTTAATCTCTACAAAATAAAAATAAAAATAAATTTTTTTAAATAATTTCCTGTTGAAAGGGGTGTTTGGCAAAACTGAAAAAAAATACTCAAATATAATTAAAAAAAAACGTATGTACAAGAAAAGGAGAAAAAAAATGAAATAAAGTGCTGACCAACGCCTCTGATTCTTTTTATTTTAAAAATGAAAGTGCATTTTTTGTTTTTTTAACATAAGATGTGGGTTTCACAGGTTGATTGGCATAACCTGCATCTTATGTGAATTATATATGGGTCAACTTGTTAATCTGCAGGAGGTTTGCGGGCTAACCCATTACTAAAAAAATAGTTTTTAGTATTTTTCAATTTTAAAAATTATAATTTCATCCCTTTTCAATTTGTTTTTTTTTTTGCTGGTAAAACCCTATAACCAAACACACCATAAGGGAAAAAATCTTTTGACATTAAAATTAAATGACAAACAGGTCTCCTGAGACTACAAAATAATTGTACATTTTACAATATTTTTTGTCATTTGTATATTTGGAAGATATTTTTCTATATTCTCCTCATTTTAAAGACAAACAAAAAAACTATTTCGTCCATATTAGACTCCATCATTCATTATCAGAAGATGAAATTAAAAAAGCAATCATGAGACTGAATTGCGATCTTGCAAATCTGTTCATATATATCAGACTGAATCATGTCGAAACACAACGCCGCCAATGGCTTGTCTTGTCTATTGATCTCAATAAAATGAAGCCTCGTATGAAGTTAACCAATTAAAGCCTTTTTCTTTACTAATAATAATAATAATAATATGGGGCGATGAAATTTTAATCCTTCAAGTTTTTTTTTTAGTTGTTAACTTGGTCCTTAAAGTTTAATTTTTATTAATTCAATCCTTTAGATTTATCTCAATTATTGATTTAAACCTTGTTATTTAAATAAGAGATAATATTGTTAAAATTTGCTGATATAAAATAATATAATAATAATAACAACCATGTAGATTAATAAAAAAAATTAATTATCTATGTTTTTAAAAAGAAATAAGCGGGCTAACCCGTCAACCCGCGGTTGAGCCCGCAATGGGTTCAAATTATGCAGGGCGGCCAGACCTGACAGCATAAAAATAAACTTGCTTTTTTTTTTTCAACCCAACCCACTTATTTTTATAGGTTGGAACGTTGGGTCATAGGATCAACCCATATTATCAGCTCTGGCTCTCCCTCTTGGTTCCTATGAGAATTTTGGCATTTTTCAGCCACAACTCTGTGATTTCGATGGTAATGACGGGTGGTTGTGATTTTGATGGCAATGGCAACAACAGAAAGTAAGGCGAGTTCTTTGTTTGGAAGATGGTGGAAGAGGGAGTGAAGAAGGTTCAAACCCTCAAGATTTTTCTACTCTCACATTCTTCATCAGTTTCTTCTCCATCCCTTTATTTGTCCTTAACAATAGAGTTGGAACCATCAGAATTATCATCTCTATTGTCCAATAATTCTTAGTATGTTCTTCATCCCCAAACAATCACATACATTCAAATTCAACGCATGGAAATCAATTCTTCTAATTCGTTCTCTTTTGATTATTTTTCTTGCTTTGATTCATATGCAGAGCAAGGAGTGCAATAAAACATGTGAATCAAGCTTCTGTTTAGGTATGTACATTCACATTTATATTCACCAATTTTTTCTTCTTCTTTTGTTTGATTTTTGGTGATTAAGCTTAAATTAATTTTAATTATCGTATCTTTGAATGATAATAGTGCTTCCATTATTGAGATATGGCAAGTATTTTGGGCTTTTTTATAGTGGGTGTCCTGGGGAAGCTCCTTGTGATGGCCGTGATGCTTGTTGTATGAAGCACAATCAATGTATTCAAGCCAAAAATAGTACGTTTCATTTCTCAATCCATGAACATGAATAGTGGCCTAATGTAAAATTTCTCAAAGTTTCTATTGCTTGGGTGAAGCTTTGAGACATCTTTATTCTATCATGATGTTTATGCATGCAAGATGTATGGCACAATTTCATCAATGAGCCTTTGGCCATAGCATTAGTAAGACTTTGTGAATGTTATTTCTGGCAAAGAATAATGGCACAATGCAGTATTTTGGTAGTTAACTATTTTCTTTATTTCCATATTCTATCTAGATTAGTAGGAAATTATCATTGAGGTTGATCAATACCACACTTGTTAGTCTTAAGAAAGTATCTTCATGTTATTTTCACCTGTTTATGTTAGTTTGAGGGAAACTGCATAATCACTGGATATGGTTATTTTATGAAAGGTGCTTATTTCATTAAATTCTTGTTATGAAGTAATTCATTAATTAGTTTTGAAACATGTGTAGATTCCTTCTATAATAACCTACTAATAAAGTATATAATTTCCCATGTTGATGCTCATGCTCTTAATATCATTTTTGCTAATTTAAGGAGACTATGTAGCTAATGGATCTTTAGACAGCCTTAAAAGAGGGCTAGATCAAAGTATGAGCGGGCCGTGACATGGAGAGAGATTCAAAAATGAGTGTGGAGTTCTCTATGCTATGAGCCGCGGCGGGCGTCCAATGCACCACGGCACATGTACAAAATCTGTGTTTATTAGCTCGCGAAATTAGATAGAATAGAAGTGAGATAGAGAGAACATGGAGAGATGAAGGGTGCTAGGGCTCAACCTTGGGAACACTTTAGAAGTATTTGGAGTAAGATTTAGCTTTAGGTAAGCTTCCTTTACTTCTCTCTCTCCCTCTATGAGAATTTTTTTAAAGGTTTTAGGTATTTTAGGGCTTTGATTTTGTGTTTTCTTGGATAATGGACAATCCATTGCCTTAGTTAAGGTCTTGGGGAGTTAAATCAAGCCTCTAAAGCTATATTTATGGATTTCATAAAGATTTGGAGTTGTTGGTTCGGGTTTGGACAAACCCTAGGTAGAAATTGGATGATTAAGAGCAATGTGGGTAATATAATAGTGTTGTTTATATGTTGGGATGTTAAATAGGG